AGCTGTGCGGCCAGTCCGCCACCTGCATGCTCCCCTTCGAGCTGCTGCTCTCCAACCCCCTGCAGTTCTTTCGGATCGAGGTGGCTCTGGAGGATATCAATGACCATTCACCTTTCTTTCCTGAGAAAAAAGTCACATTTAAGATTCTGGAGACGAGCGACTCGGGTTCACGTTTCCCCCTAGAGGGTGCTCAGGACCTCGATATTGGCAGCAACACAGTCCAGGCATATAGCATTTCTCCCGTGAACGAGTACTTTAGTGTTTACTATGGGACTCGGATTAAAGACAAGAAGTATCTTGAACTTGTTTTGGAAAAGCCACTAGACAGAGAGGAGCATGCAGAGATGAGTTTCAGTGTCATTGCTGTGGATGGTGGCTCTCCTCCCAGGACTGGGACAACCGAAGTGAAAATTGCCATACTAGATGTAAACGACAATGCTCCCATCTTCACAAGGGAGGAGTATATAGGGAAAGTTTTTGAAAACATGCCAAAAAATTCAGTAGTTTTAACTGTGCTGGCAACGGATCAGGATGCAGGAGTTAATGGAGATATCTCCTATAAACTTAGTGAAGCAGTGGGACACAGTCACTCTACATTTGCCATTGATCCCATAACTGGTGAAATTAAAATAGCAAAACCTCTAGACTATGAGGCAGCAGAATCACATGAGCTCCGTGTGACAGCCACAGATGGTGGAGGACTCTCAGCCATCTGCAAAGTGCTGGTGGAGGTGGTGGATGTGAATGACAATGCCCCAGAGGTGGTGGTCAGCTCCTTCAGCAGTCCCCTCCCCGAGAACACAGCGCCCGGCACGGTGGTTGCCCTGTTTACGGTCAGGGACCGGGATTCTGGGGCCAACGGGAAGATCTCGTGTGGCCTCGAGGATCAGCTCTTCTTCTCGCTGCGGCCAGCCTATAAGAATTACTATGAGCTGGTGACAGTGAGCGCGCTGGACCGCGAGGAGACGGCTCGCTACATCCTCAGGGTGACGGCGGCAGACGCGGGGTCGCCTCCTCTGACGAGCACGCAGACCTTCACCGTGGACATCTCGGATGTCAATGACAACGCCCCCGTCTTCAACCAGACGTCGTACACCATGTACGTGCGTGAGAACAATGTGCCCAC